TAGATCTCTTATTTTGTCTCATACTATAGTTAAAAAAAAATTAGTTTATTATTAAAAAAAATTTATATAAGTATTATTAAAGAAAAATCTATCATTAAATATTCAATTATATTTTATATACAATTAGTTATCTATAAGAAATATATTATAATAATAAATTTTTTACAGATAGTTAATTGTATCTAAAATATAATATCTAATAACATTTTTTCTTAACAATACTTATATGAAATAAAAATAAAATTATACTATTATTTATTAAAAAAATAATATCTACAAAATAAAATTATAATATTATATAAAAAAAATATAATAAAAAAAACTATATAATTAATTTATATAAAAAATAAATAACACAGTTAATAATAAAAATAATAATAACAATAGTTTTAATAACATTAATATTAATAGTAATATTAAGTTTTTTAAAAAAATATTAAATATAAAAAAAAATAATATAAACAATATAAATAAAATAATATATTATTTTAAGAATAATAATTTTAATAATAAATTTAAATCTAATAAAAATATATTATTAGTAATTACAAAAAAAAATAATATAAGTATTAACTTATTTAAATTTAATAAATTTAATTAAATATGTAGTAATTTAGTAAAGTGAATAGATTGTTAGTTTTCAATAGCAGATCTAAAGTTTACTTCTTATAAATAATAAATTTTGGAAATTATATTTATAACTGTTTCTTGTCAATTAGTTAAGTTTAGATATTTGTAATCTTAGATATACTAAGTTAGGTCTCACTTGACATTAAAAATTTGAAACATCTATATGAAGTATAATATTATATGTATATAGAGAAATATAAAAAACTGATGCTGCATAAGACTTTAGTACAAATCTGTAATAAGACTACTGAGCATAGAAAACTAAGAAACTGAAAAAACAAAAGCCTGTTTGAAAATCCTGACTAAAAAGATAGTACAAATTTTTGATAATACTGTTGGACTAATAAAAGCTCATAAAACATCTTCATAAGAATTATTAGATAAACTAGATGACAAGATATGTAAAAAGCATATAACCAACCAAGCTGCTAAAATCATGAAGAAAAAGGATATATAAGTATACTATACTAAATTATTTGGATTGAAAGTTTGAAGAGTCTGTTAGTCCTGATTTGTAATTAGTAAAAGATAATAAAGAAGATATTAGAAAAATGAATATCAAAACTTTACAAGAGTAAAAGCAGTTTAATGAATAACTCTAATTGCAATTGTTAGTTTTGATCATAATAATAAACCAGATTAGTGATAAAAAGAAAATATAATTTGCTTTGGTAGATTTATTCTTAAGAATAAAAATAGTCTAAAATTATAGTTCTAAGATTAAGATAAGAATCTAGATACAAGTAATCTAATGAAGTTGATACTAAGATTGCAGATTAGAGAGTTTAAATAAAACATCTAAACAGAGGTGTTAGGTATAACAACTAGTAAAGAGCCATCAGATAAACTTCTTAAATAGATAATATAGAAAAGTTATATATATAACTAGTTGTATATTCTTTTGTAATAGTTTAATATAGATATATGTCTATATGAACATGTGCTCGATACAGAATATTAATAAACTCAAAAGACCAAATAACAAAAAAAAAATTTAATTATTTTAAGAATAATAACTTTAATAATAAATTTAAGTTTAAAAAAATCATTAATAATTATAAGAAAAAAAAATCAACTAAATTAGGATTTTGTAGCCTAGTAGTTTAGGCACTCTGCCCTTCACAGACAAATTTAATAGTTTAATTTCAGCTGAAGACAAAAACTCTGTAATCTATGAATATATGTGAAGTCCTGTAGCTAAGTCTATGTGAATAGAAGATCAGTATATAAGGAAGTTTTTAGAAAAAGTTGCCCAATATAAAGAGTTGGTACTCAATATAAAAGAAGTAGTAAATATATCAGAAATAGAAAGAAGGCATACTAGTAGGTGATACAATAGATATAAAAAAAAACTATAAGAAAAAAAATAAATTTATCAAAATTCAAACACTTCTGACATCAAACTGATTCTAGTAAATATAAAATCTACTAAAATTAAAGAACATCTAAAGTGAAGACAACTCATATTTAATAAAGTTTTTGATTAACATTAAAGTTAAGATCTTTTATATCAGGGTTAATTTAGGATTTATATAATTATATATATGCAAAATTGTTTTTCTAAATTTTTAATTAACCTATCTAAGGCAGATTTAAACTATTATTTTTTATATTTTTTAAGATTTTCATTTTTATTTCTTGTTTTGTTTCACTAGTAATCATCAAAATTCTATAATTTGAATAGTTATTGATCATGTGATTTATTTCTGCTTTAAACAACTCCTAAAATTAGATAAATCTAAAAGGTAATCTTGGTACCATACTTAGTAAGTTTGCATTAAAAGTAAATTTGAAGAACTATAGATACTTAGTAATATCCAATAAGATAGAACTTAGATATAAATAGTAATTAGATAGTTTTAACCTGTTTTGTCTCAATAATAGTAATGTACTGTATTTCAGATATATGCAATAAGTGTTAAAAATCAGAATATTTAAATAGAGGACTCACAAGCAGGTCTCAGGTATGATATCTAATAGGTAACCTATAGGTGAAACTCTTAATTAGATAATAACTAAAGTTATATATATAACTAGTTGTATTTTTGTTAATAGATGTTGTATATAAATATGTAATTATATATTACTAATAATAAAAAAACACACAAGCAAGATCATCCTTGAAACAAAAAAAAACCAAAAAAAGAAAATAAAATAAACAATACAAATCTTAATTTACTTAATTTTAACAATGGTTTTTTTTTTTTAAGATAACTTTTTTGATTTTTTGACATTTATCAATGACTTTATTGATAATATGATTCTATGAACCACTACAGAAAAAATGTACAATTGGTTATATATGTAACTTTTCTATATTACTTATTTAAGAAATTCACCCAATGTATTGCTTTATATATGTAAAAAAAAAATAATAATTATGCATGCTCTAAATGCTGAGCAATAACCAATAAAATCAACCATTAGCACATGATCTACATTGCTATTACGACATGAAATACATACCTATTATTACTCAAATTTGATATATTCCTTGACTATCTCTAGTCACGAAAATTTTAAATTTTTTGAAAGGTGCTTTTTTGAAGGATCAGGTTAGATTTTTGGGCTAGAATTAATAAATAAAATGTATATATGAATTTCAGCAGGCTTATATTTCAAATAGAGACCCCAAATTTCAGCATCAGACGCGACGCTAAAATAATAAACTTGAAAGTCCGAAACCTGGTTTTCTTTTAATGTCATTCATATGATAATAAAAAAAGTATAAGTGGATTTGGTAGGAACTCAATTCTTCAAAATTTTTAGATAAATTTTAGGCTTAAAATCTGAAGCTGAAGTCTGGTTTTCCTTAAGCTTCACTCATAAAGTAATTATACATATGACCAAAATCTTTCAGCTTACATCATAACTAGTTTTAAATAGACCGAAATTGTTTTAGCCGCGTGTATGTACTGTACGGTTAAAACAGAAAATAGTAAATAGTCTAATTGCGTTAATGATTTTAATGAATCTCTTGCTATTACATATACTTAGTTTACTTTCACTTCAATGGCCAAATTTTACAGCGGTATTTGTCGATATTGCAAACATATTAGTATCAAAGTTGCTTCTTTGACTGTTAGAATATTATCTAGTTTTAAATATTTTAATCGATAACGTAAAGTAAAGAAGTACACGTACGCGATGTAATATTAATGAAATAAAAATGATAACATTAACTTTTATTAATTTTGATCGATTGATACTTTTCTTATTCGATACCAAATTTTTGTGTAAAATTTCAATAGTTGCTTGATTATATTTTAATTATTATTACATTCGTTATACAAATCTTTGACGCATCTCGGAATCGAATTTAAATTCACACTTTTTCGAATCTGACACACGATATATACACATAAACGTACACTTGCCAGTATAGTAAGATAGCAGTATTATAATATGATGTTACATATTACACATTACATTGATACTGTACGTAAAAAATATGCATGGTTATTTCTACAACTTTAAAATCGTAGATCCCAAATCAAAATTTTGGTTCACTATAACGACTACCAACATGCGTGCTAGATTGTGAAAAAATTCTCAAAATTATGAGATTTATCTGATTGAGCTTTATTAACCGTTAATAAAAAAAAAAATTATAGTGACATCCATATTTGAAGCTTTAGCTAATCCGTTAAGGCATTTAGTATTTTAGTATATATAATTATAGAGAATAATCAATTTAGAAGTTATAACATCTTTTTCTTTGATTGGTATATGTTCAAAACAGACACTAATTTTCGAGCATGAAGTTACTGAAATCGAATCCATTAGAAATTCGAAATACTTGATTTCACAAATAAGCTGAGTATGTACATTTTGGTGCGATGTCCCAAATTTTGCTTCTCATAGGTATTAGAGCTATGTTCATTCAAATAAAAACTTCAAAGACGATACTACAATGCATAAAATCATGTCTATCACTTTAACTGGTAACTTTTTGTTGATTATTATAATGATAATAAAGTCATTGGAAGGCAATGCATATACAGTCAAACCTCGTTAAATGAAACGAAACTTTTTGACAACTTGCATTTAGATAACAATAAGAAAAAATTTTTTTTGCATTTATGAGACCTGTATAAGTTTAGAACAGAATTAAAAATTGCGTTTAGAGTGGTATTGCTGTATTATGTTTTAAGGTGTTTCCTAAAGTAGAATCGTAATATGCAGGCCAAAGAAATACTCTTTGCATCAAAATAACCCAATAACGTGCTACGTACTCTATATAATTGTTGTCAGGGAAAAACTCAAATCTTATTGGATAAAAAATTATAATATGCGTTTTACATACGTATAATATGCGTGTATTAATGAATATACTGTATGCTAAATCTATGGGTATCTGGTTGCTAAATCTATGGATATTCTTCATGCAGAATGATATCGTAAATTGCACGAATAAAAGAAATCCTAGTAATCTGTGGATTTTTTTTGAATACCTGGTACGAACGAATATTTACGTGGCATATATATGTTTCACGACCGACAAGAAAAAAAAAATTTAGAAAAACTAAAAAGCGAATAAAGATGGATTATTATATGCTCACTAAGTGTTGTATGCTAACTACGGTTGTGATTATAATTAGTCGATCCTTTATTGTTATGAGTTGGGCGTGTAAGGTTTTGTTTGGAACTTACTTCTTTCAATGAAAGATACCAATATTCGGTCAAGGTTTTACAAGTCACGAAGTTATATTCTTGCGAATCTATAAGTGTCCATAAGCGTTCTTTTTCATCTGGTTCTTACACAGTAGTATCCATGAACTCATGTACTATATGGAATATATGTAATCTCATTAATGTTGCTCATCGAGATATTTTTAATAAAACGATGAGATACGTATTCGATCATATTAATGATGTAGTCTTCACGAGTATTGGTGACTTCATCAATATTTGCTAAACTAATTTGTCTACCCAATCACACATAGGCACATGGTTTTATAACTCGGTAATTCTTTAATTATGCGTAGTTATGATAGTCAATAATGCACTTTATATTCGTCCGGACTTTATATTCGCTCGGGTACATCTATTTTCCGTCTCTACGTAAAATATTACGACACATTCCGATAGGTACGAGAAATGCTATCATTGTCCGTTACAATGATTACAAATCGAAAATATTATGTAAGTGAGTTACCATCATTTGCATAATAGAATGCATAATATGTGAAGTAGTGCAACCCAAACTTTGCAGCATGCGCCATATACGTGATGTCGTTTGATGTTTCATATGTCGTAAAACGTGCCATATAACGTTGAATTCCAAGGATGAAAGAAAGTTGTACGTATGCGAGTATTTTGTTGTTCTGTCTTAACCTTATTTGTTTGTTATTCATAACATTTTACTTTTGCTTAAACCTGTATCTAGACTATCACTGATTAATTTAGCTAAAAATTCAATTTTTTCCATAACGTTAATAACGCTACGTACTATTTGCATTATTAATTATTTCATTTTCAAAGTAATATTGAGACAACTAGTATCTTCAATTTTCATCGTAGTTCTGAATCATGGATCACAAGTTCTGAATATGTATATCTTTTTAGTTACAGTTTTGGCGAAGAAGTGTCTATAGAAAGGGATATCACAAACTTGAAAGTTGCTCTTGATCATAGAATGACCTTCATGTGATTGGTCGTTTGAATTATACAGTGCAGTTTAATTAAAGTTTTTTTTAAAAAAAAATAAAACCACGAAGAATAAATAAAAAAAAGTATATAGAAGGTTTTATTAGGGTTATATGACTTTACCATTGAAAATAATCAAAGACTCTTTGTTTTAAAATTGTCACAATACCGACTAAAACAAAAAGGGATTTTGATTATTTCACTAATAAAAGTTCTACATTTTTTTTTATTTCTTTTTTTTTTTTTTTTTAAAAAAAAAAAAGTACTTTAACTTGAGTTGTGGCATTGAAATTTGTCTAAACTTCTAAATAATTTCGACTAACAACACTAGGTATGCTCTCAAATTCTTGTACGACGATGTTTTACATCTACAAATTTTTCAAAAAAGGGGTGCCTAATTCGGGGCATTACGACATTTTTTATATTTTCGACATGCTACTTAAAAACGCCTAAATGCCGAAATTACCGAAAATAATCTCGGCATTTAGGCATTTTGAAGCAGCATGCCGAAATAATTTCGGTTAAGTACTAGTTTACCATATACATGTATGCCTAAATTCGGTTCGATTTACGGCATTACGACATTTTTTATATTTTCAGCACCGATTGTATCTACAGGTCCAACTCCTTTTGACATTCAAAATTCTTATTAATGTTGTAAATGGAAATGGAATTTAAGTGAAATGCTGGTTTTATACAAAAAAATTCAGAATCCACTTAAATTCCGTTTCCATTTACAACATATACAACTAACTTGATCTATGATCGTTTAATATTTGACTACTAATCAAATACTTTGATAATCAAGTTTTTGTATGATTATGCCATCGTTCCATCTTGTAATTTTGACCAATCGAATTTCAAAGCTACTTTTTTTAAAAATATATATATATTAGTTCTAAATGTTAATTAGGAAGCCACATTCTGCGACCTAATTAAAACTGTTTTTTGTGAAATTTACTAATAGAGCTGTTTTGATCTAACTTTAACTCACATAATGCAGTTTTGTTGGCTTGATTTTACACGCAATTTTTTACTCCACGTTACACCTGATCTTAAATCTTGATTGGTCAAAAATTACAAAGACGAACATTTTTTCAGATGGCCTTTATCGTTATAGGTAGTTATATATGTTATCGTAGACTATATAAATGTCTGGAGCTTCAATCTCTACATAAAATGATACAAAAGCTATAGAAAAATAAAATTTTTTTGATACATTTACATATAAATCTTATAAAAATTGTATCAAAATGGCAATTTAGAAAACTTTTGTCTGTCCGCACGCTGCACGTGTGTATAATGGATACATATCATTTCATCGACAATCGCTTCGTATCACGCAGGGCGATGATTAATATTTAACGATTGTTTGATGATGAATAATTATTGTTTCTTACGCTGTGCTCGGTGAAGTGATCGTCAACATTTGAATGTTTTTTCGGCATTAGAAAATATTTTCGGCAGCCGAAATTATTTTAGGCAACCGAAAATATTTTAGGCAGCCGAAATTATTTACAGCCTAAAATATTTCCGGCAAGTTAAAAATAATTTAGGCACCCATGTATACTTCTTGGCATGCCCTGGGACACCGTGCCCACAACCCTAACTTTACCTATATAAATAAATAGAATTATACAACTAATTACTGTATATGAAAACAATTTATTATACGTAAATTTAGAATTTATCCTTTATATTATAAATTTAGCAATTCATTGTAGGCTTAGGATTTATCCTTTATATTATCGATTTGGAAATTCATATTATAATATTAAATGCTTCTTACGTATGTCTTTATTAATTCATTCAGGCTTAAGTTAGGTCATTCTGTTTAGTAGTTATATGTAAATGATAGGTTTCAAATGTTACAGCATTCACAGCAACTGCATGCTGTCCGACAAAGACCCTGTTTACCATATATAAATGTTCGTATGTAGATAATCTATTTACTAAAATACTACGTATACGTATAACCAGTATACATAGCACAATCCTCGAAGCAGCACGAATGTTAATGTTTGTGAAGGTTTTACTGTATTTAACATTTCAATTTATACACATAAATATTTACTTTTTTTTGTTTCATTCATGTTAACAGTTAATATGGGGATCATCATTAATTAACCTATGAATCTAAAGAATGTTTATTATAATGTTTACACTAATTAAATATGTGAAAATAAAGAAATGTTAGTAATAAATACGTACGTTTCATAGTAACATACAGTTAAAACTATCACTATTAGATACTGACCTAATTATGATTTTCTAAACTTTGAATTTGTATATTTAGGATTTCATTTTGCAACACTTAAAATACTTAAAATACCAATACTCATTATCTGTTATGATAATCAGCTATTCATCCCACAGAATGACGTATTTGTGTAATTTGAGTATTGACTAAACTATAAAAAGTGTCATTTACATTGTGTTATCACATAGATAACCTTAAAATCAACATCACGAACTTTTTTCTATGAAATTTATTAGGTAAAAAAAAACTATATGAGTTTAAATATGACTTTTTATACTGTATATAATTTTTCATGCATTCTGCGGATATACAAATAAACATAAATTTATATAAAGTTATACGCATAAAGTTATCCAATTTATCTAAATATTGGTAAGTAACTTTACAATTACACAATATTATTATTATTCATGTGATATGTGGACCTTCCAGGTTCGTGATGTCAAAGTAAATGACGCGATTTATAGTTTGGTCAATATTCAAATTACATAAATGTTTCGTAATGATAAAAAAAATCCACTTGACGATTAGTAATAACGATGATGATAACTAATTTTTAATTAAATCGTCACTCTACGTGATGTGTTCGATAAAGTAATCATTGATGAAAAGACAAAATGTGTAACATTGAATCAATTTTTAATTATATTATAAAGATTGGTAAATTTAGAATTATATTATAAGATTGGTGAATTTAAAATTATTGTTAAGGATAGTGCATATGTAAAACAATATGATTGATGGTGATATTTTGTGCATTCAAAATATGATTAACAGTGATATTTTGTGTATTCTTATTATCCTTTTTATTATTACCATTAATTTTAAACGTGTATACGTATAATATTTAAATGTATATAATGATCCGAGAATTTTCGAAGCATGAAAATTAGAAAGTTTACTACTTAATACTACACAAAATTTTAATAATTCATTTCTTGCTTTCGTGTGACTTTATTTAATTTGAAGAAACAAATAAATTGGTTGTTTGAGAATTGAAATTGTTCTTACAATCCTTATTGGATTTTTGTTTTTAAAAAAACATGTGGCTATAATATTTGTTTTTGTGCATTGTAACATAAGTGCATGAGGAACCTCTTGAATTTTGTCCTACCGCTACACGCAAATACACGTAAATACACGTAAATCATGAATAATACACGTTAATTGTTTTAATAATAAATAAATGACGATTAATAAACTTGGATATATTATATGTATACTTAGAATCAGTTGACAGTTGATTTTGATTTTGAGTAAATCAATATATTTATTTTATCAATATATTTATTTTGAATAATTATAATTAATATTGTACATTTTTATAAGTTGTAAATGAAAAGGGGGTTTTTTTTAATACATGAAAGTTCCAGCTTTATTTCTTAATAAATCATATATATATATATATATATATTTATCATATTTGCACATTTTCCTCAGTGATTGAAGAACGTGAAGGCTTTAACAAAGTAATTCCTAAAGATATCATTGTTGGTGTAGAATGTTCTGATGTTCGCACAATTGAATATCGGTTTCCCTCAAAACGAGCATAGTTATGAATCACCAATGCAAAATAAATCTTGTTTAAAATTAACATCAATTCAAATTCCAATATAAATGATCAAAATTAGTTATTGAAAAAAAATAATTTGAATAATAAAAACCATTTAATATATATTAAATATATTCTTACGTGTACAAATGTCGTCACAACTAAAATTAAGTTCGTTATGAAAGATTCAATCTTCCACGCTGGTAATTTTGGTGGTGATCCTGTTGTTGATTGAGTATTATTGGAAAAATTCTTCCAATTCTTTGTCGATATATGCGTATGATCCATTGTAAGATACCATAATAATTCAAATGTTAATGCAAAAAATGAGTTGACTAGTAGATCTGCCCAATATATATAAGAATAGTATCGTATAATTGTCGTATTTTCCTATTTTTAAAATTAAATAAATCAATATATCAATATTATCAAAAGTTAAAAAAATTATATGATCAACTACCTTTAATATACCGTAAAAAAGACAATACAAGAATGCTATAGATATAATCATTGAATAAATAAAAGAAAGATTTGATAATATATTTCCACCATAAATTATATTTGATATTCCAAAAAATCCAGAAAACTTGTTCATCTATTTTAAAGAATAAAATATTACAAGTTAATATTGATTTTCTTATAGAATAATTTATTATTAAATAATTCATATTACCAAAGAAATTGCTGTAATTATAACCACACCTAAATTCACAGAATTGGAGGTCAAAAACATTCCGAATTTCAGGTGATCATAAGTAAATTGAGCTTACCCTTTTGTAGATCAGGAATTCCACAAAAGGTTTTTAAGAATGGCATCGTAATAGCTTAAATTATACTTGCTGGAAAAAATTAAATCAACAAAATAACTTTGATATTTTGTGAATAAATTATATATAGCTATAAGAATATATTATTTGTTTAAAGAAAGATTATTAATAAAGTTTTTTGAGATATTAGTTTGGGCGGCAAGTATAGCTTAAATGATAATATATGATAATATATGATGATATTTGATAATATATGATGATATTCGATAATATATGATATTTCTAGGTAAAATGAAGAAAATTTCTAAATTATGTTTGCAATACATTTAAAATTTAAAATTTCAAGAAAACTTACCGATTTTCGAAATATAATATATAAAACTGTACTTGATTTTCGATTCTTTTGGAGGTTTAGGAAATTAAAAAAAAAAAAATTTATAACTTTTTAACCTATTTATACTGGGTCCAGAAATGGGTAAATGCTACTAAAATTTTATTTACAAATGATAGAAATAATAATAATAATTATAGTGGGTTATGAAACAAAGTAATATACAAAAAGTTGAAAGGATAAAAGCACGTTTCGTGTTGATTTCAATCCAAACCGACACGATTTAATCACTCAAACAGTGTAACCTATACGCCAATTTAGGATTTGCGCCTCGCATTAGGCGGAGAATCGGGTAATCAAAGAAGCGCTAAAATTAGATTAAAATGTTATTCATTTCTGATAAACATTTATGATAAACATTTATGATAAAAAAAAAACTAACCTAAAAATTTTGCGTTTAGTAATATGTAACTATGTAAATTTTGTTGATGACGAACAATTATATATGTTTCTGTCACATAATTATTGTTGAACAAATGAACTTTTTATAATGCTTTGAATGTACCACGTTACTCAATCTATTACGAGAATATTCGATATTTATTATCTAAATAAAGCAACCATGCTAATGTTAATTCCTATTAGATTAGCCTTTTTCTTATATATAGTAACGTAAAGTTTCTTGGCTTCGCTTGGCAATGATTGTATAACAGAGGACAGTCTAAGATTTTTTTTTACAAAAATTAATCCTATTTAGTTTAGACAATTTTGTTCGACTGGACCTATAAACTGAACATTGAACTTGTAGAAACTTATCAAATAACTATCAAATAACTATCAAATAACTGGAAGGAACTTATCAAATTACTGGAAAATTACTGGACTAATAAAGGTCCCAAAAACTGTTCCCTATTGGTACATATCGATATTTGTATGGTAATATCGATATCATTTTTATGGTTACAGTGGTTATTGGATATTGGATTACGCGTAACGACCCACATCAAAGTACTATTTTTTTTAAAAAGAAATTGTGTTTATTCAAATATATGATAAATGATATTAGTATTCTTAATATTTTTTAATACAGATTTAATATACTTGGTAATTAGTATTCTTGGTACTTTGTATTCTTGGTATTTAGTATTTCTGGTACATTGTATTCTTGGTATTTACATGAATTAAAAAAAAATAAAAAAGAAATAAATTATAAGACTTACAGGGTTGCTTTATATAGTTTAATATATATGTATATACAGTACGTACTTACGTACAAATATTCATAGTTTAAAATGGCAAAAGACAATAACGATAGAAAAACTTGATCACATCAAGAATTTTATAAGGAAACAAATAGACGAGTTGCTACTTACATGCAGAAAAAATGTTAACAATCCATTCGTATCTCATAGTTAACCCATCGTATCTCGTTAAAGCAATAATCTCACGTATGTACGTACGTACATATGTATGTACTGTACATACAGTAGTTAAGTCGCCAATTTTAAATTATCGTTAATTATATTCTCGAATTGTGTATACAGGATTTTTAATGTCCACATGGGTTAATTTTCTTGTTATTATATCTGGGACAAAGTTGTGCCACTGATATGTACGGCAATTAGTAATGGACCTTTATAAAGATCTATAGTAAATCTGTTCCTTACTACGTACGTAGTGCTAGATGAATACTCTTATTCGAAACATTTTACGTAAATATGTTATGAGTAGAAATAGATACATACTATATATGGTTTTTTTCTTGTTTATTCTTATTTACAAAGTTGGAATGTATTTAAAGAACTAATTCTGTTAACAAAAAAAAAAAGGTCAAACTTGTGAAAGTGATGGTATTTTAGTATGTAAATGCATAAGAAAAAAATTTATAATAGGTCAGATTAATACGTACATACATGGTTAACGTTAAAAAAAATTTTTTTTAAAGGAATAAATAAATGGGAATGACTGAACTGACTAGTAACTTAACATATGAGTGGATGAATGGTTGAACGAATTAATAAGCACCTATTTTTATGATCTCAACAATCTGTAATTAATCGATAAAAAACCTTAACGCTAACGTTATATAACGTTAAGTAACGTTAAATAATGTTAAGTAACATTAAGTACGTAATATTAAGAAAAAAATATATATATATCTTTTACATTTAGACCTTTGCTGTTCAAAATTTTTTTTAAAGTTTATGTGACCCCCTGGACTGGGACTGGAACTGGACACGCCTATTTTGCCGAACGTACTTGACATGCAAGGATCTAACCGATTTTCTTTATATGCGTCAGGCCAGTTCTAGACTTCAATCCACCTATACACGTACGTACTATCGCTATTATCAGTATGTACATACCAGATACGTACGTATTTACGTACGTATTTTACGTACGTACGTAAATACGTAAATACGTGCGTGCGTACGTACGTTTCGTCGGATGCTGTATTTTCACATGCACAGCCGTAATGCAGTGTTGTACTTATGCATAACAATAAATTAACATTATTAGAAACGATCTCCATGACCGGTACTTATCAATATAACGTCTTTTTTTTTTTTTGTAATTTTCACCTTTTTTTTTTTTTTTTTGGTTTATCCAGTTAACAATGTCGCAATCAGATATAACTCGATTTTTTGAATCTTTTAACGATCCAAGTGCTGAAATCCAACATCAACCTTCTGTTAGTAGTGATACTGTGATCAGTACTGATTCTCAATCAAAAAAATCTCCTTTATGTAAAGCAAAAGATCAAAACTCGAATGCCGGTGGCCCGATTCGTAACACTCGGAAAAAAGATCAAATTTCACCAATCACTCAACGTATTAGAAAAGCTGCTACTTTTCAAGACTCTTGGAAATCAAAGTTTCCTTGGTTAAGAATTGAAGAGCGTGATCCTCCTAATACCAGTGATTCTTCGGCTTCTCGTCAAATTGTCATGTTTTGTAGTATTTGTGAAAAAATTAAGATTAAAACAACTCTATGGTCTACAACTGGGTGTACTATGTACAAGGCTGATTATCTTAGGCGTCATGAAGCTTCAAAAGAACATTCCATGTCAAAAGAGGCTTCTTTAGATCCTTTACCATCTGAAAAACCTGCCATCAGTTCTTCTTGTGATAATTTATCAAAAGGAAATATTATATCTCAATTAAGAAATACTTTCTTTCTTTCTCAACATAATTTTACTCTTAATATTCTTAATGACTTTACCAATTTCATAACTTTTCAATCCCAAAATCAAAATGATACTACTAATACTTCCAATAAAGAACTTTTAATTCTTCGTTCTCCTAGATTACCTTCTAAAAATAAAAATACTCTCAGAGATCTTTCTATACCTCATAATTACCTTACTTATTCAACTAGATCTACTAATCACGAATTTCTTGAGATTAATGCAAAAATTGTTGAAAAAGCTGTTGTCAATGAAATAAATAAATCTTTATGTTGGAGTCTTTTGATTGATGAAAGTGTTACAAATTCTTCAACTTCTGAAAAGATTTTAACTCTGGCTTCTAAACATGTCGTTGATGATTTACCGGTATTAAGATTCTTGGGTCTATTAAAAATTTCTAGTACTTCAGCTGATTCTCTTTTAGTTGCAATTGATAATTTTATCTCGCAAAAAGGTTTAAATACTTCTACTTTATTACATTTTGGTAGCGTTGGTTCTTCTAATGTTTCTGGTATGTTCTTTTTAATTTATAAAATGTTTTATCTTTATGTTTGTATTTATTTACATGTTTATGTTCATGTTTATTTATTTTCATGTTTATATTAATGTTTATCTATCTATCTATCTATATATATATATATATATATATATATATAATATATATAATATATATTTATATACATAATATGTATATTTTTTTTTCAGGTGTACATTATGGACTTTTTACATTGCTCAAGCAAAGAAATCCTTTTTTATCTTCTAATCATTGTGTTGTGCACCGTGTTCATATGGCAATAGATGATGCAACAAAAGATATTCCATATTTTCAAACGTATAAAGATATAGTCAAAGCTATTTACACTTATTTCTCTGATTCTTACAGAAGAATGTATGAATTAAGAGACGTTGAAGAGAATATAGACAATCCTGATTTATTCATATTGAACAAAAAAGAGACAAGTTGGCTTTCTTGGGCTCAAGTTATTCAAAACTTTCATGTGATTATTGATGATATTTATAGTGAATTAGAATCTCAATCGGGTGTTTCTAGTATGGCAAAATTTTTATATGATTCGGTTGATACTGAATTTTATATAGTTACAAAATTCTTGGCCGATATTATGGAAACTTTAATGTCAATGATTAACGTATTTCAAAGTGATTATGTTTCGTTAGGTGAAACTAGGAAACAATTAAATATGGTCATTGAAACTATTACTACAAATTTTATTGGTACTGAATTTTCGACTCCTAATTATGGTACTTATCTATTGATGTATATGAATGAAAATTCTTTATCTAATTATGATTTACCAGGTAATTCTTTTTTTTTTAACTTTATTTATTTATTTACTTTTTTATTTATTTTATTATTTACTTTTTTATTGATTTTTTTATTTATTTTTTATTTATTTTTTTTATTTATTGATTAATTTATTTATTGATTTATTTATTGATTTATTTAAAATTTTTCCATATTTAAAAAATTAATAATTTCAATTTTAACTCTTTAACATTTAATTTTTTCAAAGGAATCGTTGTCCAATTTTCATTAAACATTATTCAAAGTTTACGACATCATTTTCCAACTTCACATCTATATCATGCTATGAGAATTCTTGATCCATCCGAATCCCCCGACGATCAAGAATCTTTAAGAACATATGGTGACTCTGATGTAAAATTTCTCGCTGACTTTTATGGAATCTCTAAACCTATTACTCTTAACAATACATATCATCCTCCGATCATTGATAATAAAGGTGTCATACGAGAATGGCAAATGGCAAAATATTTAATTCATGGATATCGAAATTATTCATTTATGGAAGCTTGGAAAAAAATTTGGGTTCAAAATTTTCAATTTAAGAATCAATTTCCTCAATTGACAAAATTAGTAGAAATTGTTCTTACTATGCCAATTTCTAATGGTACTGTAGAACGTGTATTTTTTCGTCAAAATTTAATAAGAGATGAATTAAATCCTGAAATCCTTAGTTATTATTTACATTTATCCCTTAATGCTCCTGAATCTTGGGAGTCTTTTGATTATGAAAAAGCTTATGAGTATTGGAGTGGGCTTTCTAAAGCTAATAAATAAATATATAGTAAATATTTTACATTTTTTTTTTTATTTTTTTTTTTTTAAGAACAATTTCGTAATAGAGTAATTTGATCTCCCACTTTGTTTTAAAACTAGAATTTCCTTTATATTATATTAATTTATAGATTCTTTTTGGAATCTTAAATAAAAAAAAAAACAATAGTTAAAAATCCGATTTTTAGCATGATTAGTCAATTTCATATTTTTTTTTTAAAAAAAAATTATATATATATAATTCTTGTATTAATTGTTAATTAATGCTCATTTTCTTGAAATCAAAACTTTAGTAATTGCTTCTCTTTAACCACCTTAGGACTATTAATTTCGAGTTTGGTGAAATAATAAAAAATAATATATAAGAATCTTTAAACCTTTTGACTTTATATTCATTTTTTAATGAAATCTATAGTAATATTATAAATTGTCACGGCTGATGCTAAGTTTTGTTGATTCTGAGATTTGAGTTCTTAATTTGAATCTACTAAACCTACTAAAATCCATATATACTCTTTTACTAACAATTCTAACCATGAATCCTAACCTAACTCTAAAAAAAAGTCAATTCTCTACATCAGCCGATCTCAGCTTCAGCCACAACAATTATCATGTGATGTGGCATTACAAAAGGTTTGACCAGTACACTCGTGCGTACGTACTGTACGTACGTATTAATTTTGTCCCTCTTCGACATTTTCCGATTGGGCTGATTCGGACAAACTTAGACCAAACATTGGTACTTGCATGTAAATCTTTTTATTGATTCAAAAAGTTTATTCGATAAGCTACTGAATCAATAAGATTACATGTAAATAAGAATCAGTATGTTAGTCTAAATGGGTTCAAATTAGCCCATTCAGAAATTTCGATGGGTTATTTTCCTAGCAAAGATCCCATATGGCATTTAAATGATGAAAAGTTATCATCAAAGTTTAACTAAAAACTTAATTCAAATTTATCGTTATGCAAAATTAAGTAATTTTACAACCTTAACCGATTATATTAGTGTTTCTAGATAGTTTTAGCGAGTTTAGGTCAAATAGAATTTCCCGACAAAGACAAACAGAAAAAAAATTGACCGGAATAACTAAAAATTATCCTAATGTGAATTAACTTGTCGGGGTTTTGACCTTGTTGGGATTTTAATCAGGTCAGGTTCCATTTTGGACACCATTTTTTGTTATTTTATTATTTCGGATGATCTTCAGTAATTTTGCATATCAGTTCACGTAGCGAAGTTGTAGTGGAACTCCCGGCAGATCAATTCGCCATAGTGAGTGAACTATATTTCAGAAATTTGTATTGCACTTTGCATCTCTTACCAGTAGACTAACCAAATCAATTTTTTTAAATAGCCTGCAAAAACACGATTAGTTTTCACATATTTCTTTAATCCATAACTATATAAACTTCAAATTTTCCCTTGGATACTTTTTCCAACCAATACGGTTGTGTCACCTAAATACAAAAATTAAGGCGGCAATATCTCATGTTGTAGAAGCAATAAACTTTATAAACATTTTATCTTTTAATTTGGTTTATGTTTTTGAAATTACTTTCTTTCTATGTATAATTTTATTTTTAATAAATGTTTTTGATAATCATTTATATTTTATACATAGTAATTGTAAATGATCTGATTATTTAATCAAAATTAAATATATTTCATATTATTAATTATGTAATTGCTTAAATTGTTTGAATCAGTAAAGTTAATTAGGTTTATTTGTATATAAAATAATTTTATTTATACAGTATATATATATATATAGTTATATTAAGTATATATATATTTACAATTTAGAGATACAATTTAAGTATTTAAATGTAATAATAGGTTTTAATAAAAGTATATTTTTTTTATTATACATTAAGATAATCTTAATGCCATATTTTCGCGTAATAACGCTCATCTACGCGTTATTTCACATGGGCATTATTTTGAATCAAAGATAAAAATGTCTTTTAAATCTGATCTTCAAAATAACACCCACTTTAAATAAGATAGATTGCTTCTTTAAATTTTTTTCTTACCCAAGCCGATTTAGCTGGTAAGTAATAATGGTTATTTGTCAATCGGTGTATTTGAAATATTTTGATTGATTAATTATTACACTGTCTGCTATATCTAATGATTAACTGATACTGTGTGGTGAAGTCGCTCTTTATATGAGTCTACCACAAAATCCCGACAGTATAATCCCTAACCCCGACAAGTCAAATTCTAGACAAAGAAACTAGTCAAAATCCAGACAAAGACAAAATCCCGACAGGTCAACATAGTCAGGATTTTAACTTGACATTTCAAAAATATCATTATAAATATTAAATGTTTAATATTAGCAAATAAGTCCCATATTATTTTATATATTTGATTAACTGGCATCTATAATAGCAAGTGTGCAAAACCGTGGTTTGATTGAGTAATGATCAAAAAAATACTAATACGTACAGTACAATTATACAAATCACAGAACGTATATGTAACAGGATTATACAGGCATAACGAAACGAATATATGGTTTAGAGTTTGATTCTGGTAGGATATTACAATCTTAATCTTTGATATTACTCTTATTGTAAATAATTATTGCGAAAAAATTAGATTTAATTGGATTTAATAATTTGTCATTCTAAGAACATAGTGAAACGGAATGTATATAAATTGTCAATGAAGTCTTAATGCTTCTCACTATGTTACTTATTTTCTACCAGATTTTATGTGACACAGCTTTTAATTTTGTTAATGTTGTGCCTCAGATTAACTCTTCATCAGGTGTCAGTCACATAATGATCATTTGACCAGAATTAACAGATCAACCTACATTTTAATCTTTTTCATTGATCTATTGAAGTGTGCTACCGCCAAAAAAATTAGCCAAAAAAATTATGCCGGAAACTCCCGAAATCACAGGCATCTGCACGTTATTTCGAGTACGCCATGGGCGTTATTTTGAAATAACAGATCAATTTTCTAATCTTAGAGAATCTTCACGATTTACATAATAAGAAAAAAGCTTCCGCGGTGATAATGTGCGAGTCTTTTTTTATTGTATTAGTCAATCTTCATGATTGACTAACATGATAAAAATTGTCTGCACGTGATAACCGTGAGAGTTCTTTAAGGTTATTATGTGCAAGTATTTATTATAAAAGTTAAAAAATCATACTGTACTGTAGGAGTAAAATTATTATTAGAGTGCGAGTTATTTCGGAACGCGCATGGCGCATAAATGTTATCCCAAAACCAAATACGCTATTTTTAAAGTCATGATTTTTGAAATAGCCGTTATTTCGAGAATTTATACACTCATTATTTCGAGAATTTATGGTACATCTTACTGAACTTAAGTCCCTAAAATGTTAATCAGCGACATATATATATTATTAAAAGTATATATACTACACCCTAATAAGTGTTAGTTTATAATAACTTTAAGCAAACTCGAACTAGACTACAGACGATTTCATATCAAAAAATACAATGCACAAGTCAAAATAAAATTAGAAAGCGACATACAATATGGGATCTCAGTAGTAGAAAGAGCACCATAATCATGACTTTGTGATAATCAAGTTTATTCTGAAAAATTTAGTATTTTAATTGATTAGTAGTTTCGAGTATGTGTTACACGGTAGAGATTGTACCCGCATAAGTAGGTGACCCGTGTAAGATGTGTTAACCGGGTCATAGATATTGCTACTCGGGTGACCCGGATTAACTATCCATAAATACGTGAAATACGTTCGCTGATTAGTTCCACAATTTTATGTATATTGAATAATTAGTTTTATATATTATATAAGTAAATGGCAAAAACGAACAGTAGTTGATTACAGCTATTCTTATAAATTCTGGGACAACTGGTAAAGAATTCGATAAGTTTTTGAATTTGGTGTTATCGGAATTGGATTTTCAGCATTACAATAATTCGATAACACCGAATACAAAAACTTATCGATCTATTTTCTATCAGTTGTCCAAGAATACATAAATCAAGGTAGAATGTGACGGTCTTACAAACTATGCTGGAAAATGAATAGTTGGAATAGTTGCGGTAGGTGTAAATAGATGAGTCTATATATTTTTCTTATTGTGATCAACGGGCCACCAGTTATCCGGGTTATCCGGTTTGTATCCCAGTTAGGACAGGTGGGTAACCCGGAACCAAAATTTTTAGCGGGTCCAATCTCTAGTTGCACGTACACGTCTCCCAAAATTTTTATGCCATTTTATAATTGAAAATGTAGAATTTACAAAAACTCATTACTGCAAAGGTCTTATCTAAGACCATAATAAGAATATTTTCTTTGATGAAATTTATTATAAATGTTTTTAACTTGTTTTTGGAAAAAATTTAACCAGTTTTGGTAATATTGTTAATGCATATTTTACATAAATAAATAAATAATGATAATAAAATAAATCTAAATTAAAAACTTAGCATATTGAACGGTATGACTCAAATGCCATTCAACATTAATGCAGTAATGATGCGAATTAACAGACTTTTCTCATTTAATTGATGAAAATGAAAGCTATGTACAACGAAACCCATGACGATTGATGAAACACAAGCCTATCATTCCATTCATTCTTTCCATTTATAATACATAGAAATTAGTCCATGTGAAATTAATTTTTTTTATCTATCATCTACTCTGTTTATATTTTTTGCCATATTTTCCGAAATTACCAGATGGCTTGCCTTGAATGTGTCCGATAGGTCTGATGAAGAAAACTATTGAAAATAAAATAAAAAAAAGTTGACTTAGATTCGATTTAATGTAAAGCCAAAAATTAGGTATGAGCTCATTAATTTTTGTAGAGTCCCCTTTTTTTTTTAATACCAAGATGATGATTTAGTAGAAAAAGGTCATTATCAATTACAAAGGGAGCCACGCCCATGCAGTTCACTTTTAATCAATAATCACCCGATGAAATTCGATAAACTTTTTTTTTTTATCTGAAATTCTATGAATCCATAGAAGTTAAATAA